TTTTATCTGATGAATTAAATGCACTCCCAGTTGTTTGAATATTTAAAAAATGTCCTTCCTCTTTGCATTCTTATGCTCATCGCACATTAAGATCACATGCTTATCTTAAAGGAAGTGAAAACTTAAGGGGAAATTTCCATGGCTGTAATAAACTTATTATAAAATAATATTAGTGAGAATATATAGGATATTTTAAGTTTTCATATTTCCTGAAGAAAATATATCTTATTCAGAATTTATATTCATCATAAGGCACATTTATTAAATTATTGTAAGTTTAGCATTGCCTTTTTGACATATATAAATGTGTATGCTTCCATTTAAAAAAAGATTTTAAATTATATAGGCAATTAATGCAATATAACTAATACAATACTGTAATATAGACAAAAATAACAAAATTCCTGTTTCACAGACTATGAAATGAATAATCCACAGTAACTTGAAAGTGCTCTACCACTTGAAACATACAGTATAAAATGGACACTGTGGCTGTAATACAGATTCAGAATCTAGTTGTATCTCAGAGGTAAAGCATTTACTAAACTTTTGTTCATCCAGGAGCTCAGAATATAGATTACAGAAAGTAACTACCGTAAATTCTCTGTGCCCATCCCATTAAATGACTTTCTGATTTGCTTTCATAGAGCAGAATAGAGAGACTATAATTTGACTGCATATCAAGATGCATATATCTTAAGTGGTTACTCACTTTAATTGTCCTCAGTGATTTAAAATTCTAGACTAGTTTTATCTGCTGAAGAGCCAAGTGGTACCAGATGGCTGAGGGAATTAAATTCAATAAGGCTCAAGTTAATTCAATCAGCTAAGTAGTTATTAAGCTCTATTCCAAGACTACGTACGGACAAAGATATGAAGTATAGTTCTTGATTTTAAAGTATTGACATTCTATGGAAAATGCAAAAAGAAAGAAAACAAGAAGCATCTTGACTCTGTGGAGAGAGTATATAATGTAATAATTTAATTTCTCAACATTTATTAAATCCTCATTAAGAACTAGATGAAGGGAAATAGATGCCAAATGACCCCTATGTCCAGGAAAAACCAAACAAAACTATTTATAGTTTCTATGGGCAAGATTACCATTATCACATCTTTATGTGGTTGATTTCATGTTTTAAAAGTTTTCTATAATGACATCCATAAAAATTACCTTCACTCTGTGCTCTTAAGCATGCAACCATTGGGTCTATGACAAGTCTGTTAATTCTTGCTTTATGCTAATATGGGTTGCTATTTGTTTTCCTTCTCAATATAACATTTCACCTTTAATATCATCTTTCTTACATTATCGGATGTTTAAGGACTGATATAATTGAATATGATAAAACATATATGATAAAACATCATAAAATATGATAAATATGATAAAATATGATAAAACATCATAAAATTTTTTTAAATGAATGAAAATATATTTTATCAAAAATAGTGTTACTTAGAAGATAAAAACTTAACAAAGTTTAATGCAAGACTTGTATGCCCCCCTCATACTGTAGTAAGTAAATTGTTTCTACCTGCTGATCTTCTTAGTTGTTTTTCTTTTATACAAATACTCTCAAATTTTGATTTAAGAAAACTAAAAAATACACATGCATATACACACAAATATATACACAAACACATATGCATATAGTCATTTAAATGACTATATTAACATATATCTATCATTGTTTTGTAGTTAAAATTTTAAGTGATTTTTTTTTTAAAACCTGAAGCCAAGAAGTGGGGGAAAAAAAATTAATTCAATGAATTCCTACATTTATTAATTTCCTAGTTTTTCAAAATAGAATAATATTTCATAAATAATGCTTTTGGGATACTTTGGGAATCAAAGTTATACAGATCATCATCTCTACAACCTTTCATTTTCCATACATAGTAAGACTTGTAAAGTATGAAGGTAAATAGTTGTCATTTCAGTATGGACTTACCTTGCCTACATATTGATAATCAGATCCTGTATATTCCTCCAGTAAGAAAAACTGATTCCACATCCAACCACGTTTTTGACGATGCAGAATTTTGCCATCACTTCTTGACACTCGTGCACCTAAAATCCTTTGTTGAGGCACAGGAGTCCTTCTGAATGTTATCTCTGGAGAACAGAAATGTGGCAGGCATACGCAGAGTAGAATCAGTCTCAAAAACTGGTGTATTGTCATAGTTCACTTGTTGACAAATCCCAAAGTGGATGAAGAAAAAGTAGTCCTATTTTACTGGATTGGATTTTACTGCATTTCAACTGGTTTCCAACATTTCATTAATGTTTGGTACGTTTCCAAAATCTTTAAGCAAACAGATAAAAAAAAAAAAGTCAGTTGACAACATCATGACTGTTACTTGTCATTTTAAATTTAAAATTATAAAAATGTATTAAAATATTTAGTGTAACTATTTTTCATAGAATAGTGATTGGTTTGGGGAAGCATTGTGTCATAAAATATGCATGGCTTAAGAAAATATAAGTATGGGTGTTTTCTTTCAAACAAAGTATAAAGAAGAGACATCATGAAGTTCATTTATCTCTTTTGGTGATTTAATAGTATTTAGAATTTATAATTCCTGTAGGTTGGAGGTGTATTTTATCTTGTGTATCATTATTTTCTGGAATAAATTTTACTTAAAAACAGTGATTTAAATAAACTTCAGGAATTGTGCATTACTTGTGAAATATAATAATAACTAAATAGGGCTGGGGATGTGGCTCAAGCGGTAGCGCGCTCGCCTCGCATGCGTGTGGCCCGAGTTAGATCCTCAGCACCACATACAAACAAAGATGTTGTGTCTGCTGAAAGCTTAAAAATAAATAAATAAATAAATAAATAAATAACACTCTCTCTCTCTCTTTAAAAAAAATAATAATACCTAAATATTTTTCAAACAGTGCACAATTTTTTTCCAATTTAGTCTAGATGCAAAAGTAAAGGCAAAAAACAAGCAAACAAACATATAAACAAAAGAGGATTACACTGAGTTAAAATATTTCCTCTCTTTTCTTTGGTGTGTGAAACATCTGTGTTTTCCCAGATGCAGAAAAAAAAATCCCACTTCAGAGAATCATTTCTAAAACAATGAATACTAGTGGGTAAGAGGATATAATCAAGTCACAGCTCTACCTGTGCTATGTTTACCCAAACTGTGCAGTTCTAATGGGCCCTACTGCCACCAAGTTTGTCCCAAATTGCATGGCATCTCTGCTGGACTGTGCCAATAATCTATTCCCCACTCTCCACATTGTACCTGTCATTATTTTCACAACAAAATCTCCAAAGTAACCCCATTCAAAAGTAAGTTACACCATTTCACTGCTGTGCACAGAACATTCAACTGGCTTTTCATCTAACTTTGAGTGAAATCTAAAATCTATGCACAGTTACCGCATTCCCTTCATCACTGTCACTCTTCGGACCTGCTTCACTTCAACCCTCCAGCTGCCCTCCTGACCAACTCCTTTCCAGTTACAAGGACCTTCTTCTTCACCCTGCAACAGAGTTCATCTGCTTCTTTCCTCAAGTCTTTCTGCTTGTTCCCTGTGCTTGGAATGCCTTTTCCCAAGATAGCAACTTACATAGGCCCTTTGGTTCCTTCAGGTTTTGCTTTGAAATCTCTTCTGATATTTTACATATCCCAACACATGACATGCATTTTATTTATCTGTTATGCATAAATTCTGCCAACCAGTTATAATCTCTTTCAGGAAGGATTTTTTTCTCTGTTTTCTTTACTGCTTTAGTAACAATACATACAACAGGATCTTGCACGAAGTAGATGCTGAATAAATAGTTTGAATGAATGAATAAATGCCTGCATAAATTGTAAGTGGATGCAAACATCTGAATATGATTCATTACCTGCTGTGTGTTGTTATGCTAAAGTATTCATCTATGGAAATGCATAGTTTAAATAAAATTCTTAATCCTCATTTACCTTATCATTAGAATATTCTTATTAAAAAAAAATTTTTTGTAGTTGTAAATGGCCAGAGTGCCTTGTTTTGTTTTGTTTTGTTTTGTTTTATTTATTTTTACATGGTACTCAGGGTGGAACCCAGTGCCTCACACATGCTAGGCAAGCACTCTGCTACTGAGCTACAAACCCAGTCCCAGAACATTATTTTTATTTTAAAATTTTGTGTGGATTTTAAAATTTTTCCAATAGAAATAAATTATGTGCCAAGGATGATAAGACATTTGTTTTAAAAAGTGGCTGGAGAATGAAATGATTGAGTTCTACTTCTTTTATACAGCATGCATTCTAAGTATTCTGGAGTTTACATTTGTGTTTCCGTCTATGATTATTCGCTAGCAATCTGTTTACTTTTTGTTTTGTTATTTAAAATATTGACAAGCTAATATAAATGTGCTTTAGAAATAATACTAATGGTGAAGCAGTAAATCTCCTGAGTGTACTAAATGTCACTGAAACCTCCATAGTGTGTGAAGTCATTCAACATGATTGATACAAACTCTACTAAAATACTATATGTGATACTTTACTTGGAGTTTAGTAATTACCTGGTGCACAAAATAGTTGTACATCCTAAAGTAATGACTTTATAGAAACTCATATTGTTTGGATTCTAAGTAGCAAAAACATTTAATAAAATGATGTTTGTCTTTTTGTATCTCAGGGTGTGCTCAATGGTATATCCGGAAAGTCACTTTTCCTAAGGGAAGGAAAAGTTCATGTAATGAATGGTTTCTACCCTTTTCCACCAAGGCACAAAATTTCATTGAAGCAACAGTCATTCTCAGTTCATCTATTTTAAGTACATTTTACACAATGATCATTGGAAAAAACTATTCCACTGACAAGAATACATAAATGTAGACACTTTTAGTAAACCATCATTTAATTTGTCCAAAGTTAATTTTCCCTAGGATGTTCTATGTGGCTCAGAGTCTATATGTAGACATGTCAAAGCATTGCTCATTTATTATTAATACCACAATAATGATTTTTGCCCGTAACCTGCCTCAAATTATAGAATAATTTTGATTTTAGATTCAACCAATAGACTTTTTTAAGAGAGAGAGAGAAAGAGAGAGAGAGAGAGAGAGAGAGAACTTTTTAATATTTATTTTTTTTAGTTTTTTCGGCAGACACATCTTTCTTTGTATGTGGTGCTGAGGTTCGAACCGGGCCGCAAGCATGCCAGGTGAGCACGCTATCACTTGAGCCACATCCCCAGCCCCTCAACCAATAGACTTTTGATATGGTAAATTAATATATTTTATTGTTTTATTTAGTATTTCATGACTCACAACTGTGCTCCCCACCAACTCTGTGTTCTATGTGCCACTACCCAACATTAAATGATCATTTCATGAATAAGAGCTTACCTGTTCATAGCTACTGCCAGGTTTTCTAAACCTCAACTTTTCTTATTTAAAAGTTATCCTACAGGGTATTAGCTAAATTAATTTTCCAAAACTCACTTCACTAAGATTCAAATCAATTAGAAATTTTGAGTGTATCTCCTACTGGGAACATAACATCTACCTTTCATAAATCATTTCAATATCTGAAATCAGATAATTTTAAAATGTTTATTTCACATGATTTTCAATTGTTTTTCATTTCAGTTTTGATATGCAGCTTCTTATGTGTATAAACTACTTCCTCATGAATATATAAATCAGAGTACTGTTTAGGTGATTAGACTCTATTGAATTTTCCCCACTAGTGAACTCCATTTTGTAAGCTAGATGTAGATATACCAGCAGATGTTTCTAAAATTAAGTAATACATGTTTTTAAAAACTCTTTCTGGATGGGTATGGTGAGGCATGTCTGTAATCCCAGAGGCTTGGGAGGCTGAATCAAGAGGATTGTGAGTTCAAACCAGCCTCAACAAAAGTGATTTAAATCCCTGGTACCCACTTCCCTGCTCAACAAAAGTGAGGGACTAATCAACTTAGATCCTGTTTCTAAATAAGACACAAAATAGGGCTGAGGATGTGTACCCCCTTCCCTGCTCAAAGAACTCTTTCTAAATAGGTTGGACTACCTGTGATGAAAAATAAAAGTTGCATTTTAGAATATAACAATACTATTCAGTGGAACTATTGTACTTGTTGGAAATTATAAACTATTAAAAGTGTCAACAGGATTAAGATAAAAGTAAACTGCTTAAATTAACGGAATTTTATAATGTAACTTCCAATTAATAAATTTAATTTTTGAGTAGTCCATTTAAAATCATATTTTCATCATAAAACTAACATAAATATCATGCAAATTAAGAATCATTAAACCACCCTTTAGCATGTGCATTCTCATATTTCTTTAAATTAGTGCTTTCAATTTTTGACATACACTCTGGATTCTTAGGACCTTTGGTAAGTGTCTGTTCCCACTCAGCATATCTGAGACAGCACGCATGATTCTCCATTGCCAACTAGCTCCCATATCATGCCAACACAGCTTGGTCCCATGCTTTCAACAGAAAATCTGTAGACCAACTCAAACCTAAATTCACCTCTAAAATATTATTATGACTTTTTTCCCCATTTAGTGCTTCAGAAAACAGGTACACATTTTACTGTGATAATGATTGCTGCTGGAAGATTAGAACATTATTTCTCAATATTCAAAGTCATTTTGGACACTTTTTTAACCAGAAAGTTTTTACTCAAGTCAGCATACACTAAAACAATTTCCCTTCTAATCAGAAACATAAATATATAAACTATGATTTCTTGTATAAGCACATTTTAGATAATTTGTCTCACTGGGCTTCTATAATTTTTATAATCACGAGATTTCATTATTCTCTGTAAATACTTATCACACATATTAATTCCTCTAAAATCTTCAAATTTTATCATTAAAACAGTCAAAAAAAAGCAGATCACGGGATACAATAGTGGGTATTTTGGCAAAACTCAATTACTAATTAAGTCTTCATACATCACAGATGATTACTTAAGCTACAATCCATCTTTGGCTAATAAAAAGAATTAATCATTATTCAGTCAATTGTCTATGTTGATTAGAATCCTAAAGTATTAGTTTTTTTAACCATCATTTATAATAGTAACAAAAATGCTAAAGATTATTGAGAACAAATTGAAGCCTGTGTAGTTGTATAACTTTAATGCTTTTAGTATTTCATACAACAAATACTGTCTAATGAAATTCAAGAATGAAAAATAAAGGAACACTTTTCAGGTGTATTGGTATAATTAAAATGAATTGATGCATACTAAATACTTCCTTTTTATTCAAATGGTGCCATTTTATGCATCTTGGATAAAGCACAATGTGAGATAATCAAATCAAAG